GAATTTTTTTTAATGACACATATATATTTATAATTTTCTCAATTGACTCTCACTCAGCTAGTAGTGTTGGGTTCCAACTCCCGTTTCTTCGTAGTAATAATAATTGAAATATATATCTTCTACTTGTGGGCGCCACACTCTAAAATTCTGAACATTTAAATCACGCATTGAGAATTTAAAATGGTTTTTATTTAGAAATAATTTTTCTAACATTAATATATTAAAATAATTCAAAACGTAAAAAAAATAATTTTTTAAAAAATATTTAAATTTTAAACAAACAGCATTTTAGCTGCTTTGCCAAACATTTCTAAAGATATGGTACCCTAAAACTTCTATTTATTTTGTTACTAATTTTGTAAGAGAACCAAAGATAAAAGAAAAAGGAAATGAAAAGCTTTCTAAAATCTGAAGGGTATTAAACCCACAAGGAAAATTTATTAGCCTAAAATTGGGTCATTAGCCAGATTCGTGAGTTCAATTCAAACAAACAACACATCAGGATGGCTATATTTTCATCGGGGATTTTTTTTTAACCTGAGTTCATCGTTAAAAAAAACAAATAAATAAAAAAGTATGAAGTGTGTTTAATGCAGAAGGCCGGAATTAATGAAGCCTCAACTGTTCTTGTCGTCATTCCGGCAAGAGCATCAGCAAAACTAGCTAGCAGCAGTTTGTCTAACTAAAAACCCACCTAGCTAGCTATCTAGTTTTCATCATTTATTCAATCAAGCACCTGCACCCAACCAAGCAGGAATCGAATTGCTTCACAAGACAACAGGAAAACAGAACCATATGCATGGTCTAGTCAAAACAATCCATTAATATTTTTCCTTTTTTCTCGATATATTGTCAGCTTTTATTTCTTTAACCTTGCATAGCCATTGAGACCACGAGTAAAAACTACATGGAAAAGAAAAAAGAATAGAGAAATCTTAAAACTCGGTGGACTCTTGAGGGTTTTGGAGAGGTAGTTATATAAGAACAGATCTCTCTACCTTAGTCTTTCTGTTTTGGTTTTTTGAAAAAAAAAATTATTTCTTTTACACTTCCCAAGTATGTCTTCGCTCCATTGGAACTGAAAGCAATTAATAAGGTTTGGTGAAGGTTCAGGTCAAAGAGATGTTGATATGTCAAAGCTTTTCTTTACCTTTAAATCCGAGGTTTTATACATAGTTCATGTCACTTTTATCATCACCGCTCACTTTCTCTCCTTCTACAATTAAGCAGCTCAGCCATTCTTTTGATCTGTTGCTCTCAGCAGTATCTCCATTCCTTTTACCACTGAAATCCCTCTCCGGTCACTTTCCAAGTATAAAACCTCTTGTTCTTTTCAGGGTCAATTTGATCCAAAGTTTTCTTCATTGGTGCAATGAGATTATTAGTTGTTCTTGTTATGGCATCGTGCCTTACGATTTTTGCAAGTACTGGGTCTGATGCAGTGCCAAAATCAGCTTTTCTTTTTCCTGTTGATGATGCCAATAAGAGGAAAGCTTCATCACATGTGTCATCATCATCATCATCATCATCACTTGAAGCTGTCAACAAATTGATCTCTAACTCCATCAAGAACAAGAATCTTACTTTGGATCAATTGAGAGTCGTTCCTACAGGTCCAAATCCCTTACACAACAAGTAGAAATAGAGGGCGTGAAGATTCAGTCTTCCAAAGATTTTCAACTAATTACTCAATGCTTGATCAATTTGTTGCAGTGGAAATTCAGCACAGATTTTGTCTAGCAAATCCTTCATCGTTTTCTTCCTTCCTCCTCCTTCCTTTTTGTATTTTTTTTTTAGTTTGCTTACTTCAATCTCTGAAGCTCAGTTATGTAAATGGTGTCCTGCTTCTTGATCAATGTTATATCTGTGATCATACTTTGTCCAAAATCTCAGTCACAGCAAGAAATATGAAAGAGTAGTGGATAATTTCTTTGTTTTTTCTTTTTCTTTCTTTGATTAACTGCATGAGAATATCAATCATATATACAACATATATAAATGGTGTCATTCTCCTTCTTAATACACAATAATCCCACTCTCCACCAGTTGAAGTAATTACTAACTACAAAAAAATCAATTAATTAATCTTATTTACCATTTAATATTTGACCACAAGGAGTAGGTAATGGAATTTATTATGAATAACTGTTTGCATGGTTCTGGACTGGTTTGAAGTTGGAATCGGTGAAAGCAACCCTATCAGTTTCTGAAAGTATTCTGCCATTTTTGCGAGTATAAATTAGGTAAAGAATAAGATAAACGGGGGGCAATTTTTGGCAAATATATGGATGGGAAGTTGGCAAGAGAAGAGAAGATAAATATTTCTGAGGTGTGGTCCAAAGGAAAATAAGTTCTTCTGTTTCGATTCGTTGCCTTTATTTATTAGATATGTTTACTGATGAGGAAAAGAGCATTAAATTTGTGTCAGCATGAACTTAAATGCTACTTTTTTTTTCTATAATTATTTTCTTGTGGGGTGAAAGAATTTAATGGTGATTGATTACCTTGAGAAAGAAGTTCTTGAAAATCAAAGTCTATAAAGCAAGTGCTATATTGCTTTAAATTTATGGTCTTTTTATTTTATTTTATTTTTACATTTTAAAAATAAAAATTTCCAATGTCTGAAGAGAATACATTGATAAAAAAATTTTATTTGATTATATATACACACACATTAGGGTTGTTTTCCTTTGAAAAGTTCCTTCATCAAAGGAAAGGTGGGTTGATAATAACTTGCTCTAAATAGTTTTAAGGCGTGCATATTTGTTCATTACCTATAACTTAATCATTTCATATTCTTCTTCAACTTGTTTCATTGTTTTATATATATATATATATAAATTTAATTGTATATTTTATTTACTATAAATTAATTTTTTAATATTTTTATATCGTTTTAATATTTTAATGTTAAAAATAAATTTTAAAAATAAAAATTTCCAATGTCTGAAGAGAATACATTAATAAAAAAATTTTATTTGATTATATATACACACACATTAGGGTTGTTTTCCTTTGAAAAATTCCTTCATCAAAGGAAAGGTGGGTTGATAATAACTTGCAATAAAAAAATTTTATTTGATTATATATATATACACACACATTAGGGTTGTTTTTGAAAAATTCCTTCATCAAAGGAAAGGTGGGTTGATAATAACTTGCTCTAAATAGTTTTAAGGCGTGCATATTTGTTCATTACCTATAACTTAATCATTTCATATTCTTCTTCAACTTGTTTCATTGTTTTATATATATATATATATAAAACGAAATAAAATAAATTATTTAAAGAACAGTTAAATTGAGGATGATCATCCAACATGAATAAATTATTAAAAAAATTTCATTACATGAATTAATTATTTTTTTATCAATATAATTTATAAGGAGTAAATGATAATTAACTGAAGAAAATAGTTAAAAACCGCTTCGACATTGCTCTCATTTCTCCGGAATCGATTCACTAATCTTTGATGACACTCCAAGGATAATTTCAAACAATCATTGTCTCATATACAATCTCCGGCTTATCCCCGCAACAACATTACATCAAAATTAAATCTCTCTGTAGTTAAATCGTTTCTAGTACATTTATATTATTTTTTTATTGGTATTCTTTACCAGAAAAAGTTGATAATAACCCTCCATAGAACATCTCAATAACACCATTCATAAATCCGGCTGAAAAATTTCAGAGAAAAGCAACTGGCAAAGAGCTAGTTTTGTTGTATGCAGAAAAAGAAGAGGAGCAAGGCAAAACTCCAAAAGGAAGTGACAAACCCTGCGGCAGAGGGCAAAGTGCTCAGAGTAAATACAATGAAACAAGGCCTACCCTATCAAACAACAGTTCAAATTAAAAGCAAAGCCTAGCCATCAGCTAAATGCTAGGGAGCTGAGAAGCACTGCAGACCTAAACACTGTTCTGATTAATGAACACTGCACTTTGGAACAATAACATTCGAGCTTGCCAAGAGTTGGTTTTTTCACCACCTGTTATGACTTCTTCAGCTGTCTCTCACTATTATGAATTATCATATGGTGTAAATCTGCACTCTTGCTTGACGAGGGATCTAGACTTTCAATTGGATCGGATATTTCGTGTCTGAGTTTTTAAGGATCCAATTTGGCTTGATCAAACCCGATAAGGTCAAATGTCTTGTAAGAAAAACTTTGGAAGTTCTAATAAAAATAATCGACTCGATGAGCTAGCATTTCAGGCCCTGTTTTGGATCATTTCCAGGTCGGTTCTACAACTATGACTATTATAAATTCTATAACAGCCAATTCAAATATATCACTTCTTTCCCTCTACAACAAATGGTAAACGCAGGCATTCCACATCTGGGACTAATTTGAGCGCTATAATTTCAAATTTCAGCCCTGCACCATTAATTTTGTTTGTTATCTTTACAAAACATTGATAAAAAAGTAAGATGCCAGGCTCCACTGTGCCCAAAAGTACTCCTTATGGACTATCATGACCAAATTTCATCATCTGCCAACTTCCTAGCTTATCAGAAGCCTAAACAAGCACCTAATGTAGCTTGTATTCATGACTAGGTTCAAAGAAATAAAGCAGGATAACAGTAAAATATGATTCTATTGTAGTGATCTTGAAGAAGTTTACTCATGTTTGACAAATTCATGGCTCTTGTAAGAAAGTTTGTAACAGGTTGTTGAATCCTCCCAAAGAAGAGAAAAGACCTAGTGATTAAAAAAAAAAAAAAACCCTAATAAGTACCAGTAGGAATTATATTGGCAAAGTCTACCTGGCTGCATCTATTGTTCAATGCAGATAAAATCTTCCTAGTGCAGCTACAATGCTATATATGCTCCTTTTCTACTCGGACCTATATTTCAAGTTAAATTTTCATCAGAAATTACATTACAAAAGAGCTATATCTAATGATTCTATCTTTTCATTTCTCCAATTAAATCAACCTCAATTTTGTGGCCCGGGCAACGAAGGGGACTCGGTCCACAGAGGAGAAAGAAAAGCCTCAGATATGGTTATCCCATGAGAGGTTGCCATCTTTTTTACGACTTCTTTGCAAGAAGACTGGCCTCATAGGTGTTCCAACCATTTCAACTTTGCATGTTAACTGGGCAACAATTCTTGACATAGGAGGTCTCAGGTTTGCAAGAGGCTGAAGGCATAAGAAAGCTACGTGGATTACTTGCAAGACATCTTTCTCCACAATTCCATGTTCTAGCAATTTCGGATCTACCAGATCCATCACACTTGACCCCTCATATAATTTCCATGCCTGAGAAAATAAATATTATTGAAGTCAATAGAAAAAGGTCTGAATGAAAATATTAAAATTTTCAGAAGAGAAGGGATATTGTGGAAAGGTAATGGCATGTACATATTCAGGAAGGTACTGCATTTCTGATGGTAAACTAAGATCTGTGTTTTTCCTGCTGCTGATAATTTCAAGCACAAGCACTCCAAAGCTATATATGTCTGCTTTTTCGGACAATTCTCCTTTCATGGCATACTCAGGAGCTGTATAGCCTCTGAACAGGAGAGAGTGGAAAGTTAAGAAGAGAATATGTTGAAAGCCAATCAATGGCTCATAGGGTGCTTTCTTTCATTTGGACTCCTATATTTGTAGAATACTTACAAAGTTCCAGCGAATGCAGTGCTGAGATATGCTTGATCTTCAGGTAAGAACCTAGCCAGCCCAAAATCACTAATCCTAGGCTGGAACTTATCGTCAAGAAGAATGTTGCTTGCTTTGATATCTCTGTGAACAATTCTGAGGTGTGAATCCTCATGCAGATATTGCAGTCCTCGAGCAATGCCTAATATTATTTGGAATCTGGTGTTCCAGTCCAGGAATTTATCACTATTTCCTGCAGCAGAGGACAATGAAAGAACATTTTAAAGTTCACTGGAAGTTTTAAAAATTATCATCTTGTTTCATAATCAAATGTAAGACGAGACGGTACCGTGTACTATGAGGTCCAAGCTTCTATTCTTCATGTATTCATACACAAGTAACCTTTGTGGACCATCTGAGCAGCATCCTAGAAGTCGAACCAAGTTCTTCTGTTGGATGCTCGTAATCATCTTTACCTCCGAAAGAAATTCTGATTCTCCTTGCTGAGATTTGTCAAGAGACAATTTTTTTACCGCAACCAGCCTACCATCATGTAACTTCCCCTATGAAACAAGAGGATGAATCACAAAAGCTGCAAGTACCAGAACGTGAACTAAAGTCTTGCTTATGAAATTCAGACTCTGACACAGACTTGCCAGAAAAGACATTTTGGTTTACAAAATGTACCCGATAGACAGGCCCAAATCCACCTCTTCCGAGTAGATTACCAGGATGAAAATTCTTAGTTGCTTTCTTCAATGTCCGAAAGTCGAAATAGTTTATTGTTTGCAGATTGCCACTCCAGAAATCCTTGGTTTCTGTCATTAGATGCAAATTATGAAAAAATAGAACTTCGATTGACTTGGTAATAATAAACAGTAATCAGAAATTATATGACCTGTCAGACTTCTATTTTTTTTCAGGAATTTCTTCAATTTTTCTGTCTTGTTGAATTTCCAGAAGTACAATACAAGGATGAGCAGTATTATGAGCACAGTCATCCCGCCAATGACAAATAGTAAGGTTGAAGAATTCCCTGATGAGGGGCTCTGTCTATGTAGCGCGTTGGGTGCTGGAGTAGTCACTGCATTCGATAATGGATTAGAAGGCCTACTTCTATCTGAAAATTTATGGTCAAAACACATACTGAATACATGTCACAGGAATATTTATCAAGAACAAAAAGAATCCATTGAAATGACCACTTAACCCAGCTGTTCTAATCCATATTTTGTTGCCAAGAAATAAAAACAAGTCTTCCCTACATCCAAATGATGTCAATAGCAATTCATGTCTACTCTTCCAAACTTTTTAGGTCACTGCATTTCATTATTAGAAGGCAGGTAAGCTACCCTAAACTTCTGACGAGACACATCGCGCTCAACGCACCCTAATAAGACCTTACAGGCTTCCTTAGTTGCCTAAACGTGATCATAACACAGAAGACAAGAGAAATATAATTAGCGAAGAACTTACCTTCTACTGCTCGGCGTGCCATTCTTAACCGTCGAGAATTCAATGCAGAAAGAAAGAACAATAATTTTCTTGTTCTTTTTCCTTTTCTTTTGTTTAGTAAGCTCGAAAGTTCCAAAGGTAACATAAGAAGAATCGGAGGAAGGGAAAATGGGACAAAGGAAACTGTCTTGTGTAAAATGAAACTTTGGGGACAACGAGAAAGATCCAAATGTTAACATAGTGAACATTCCTCTCAACGTCTTTGTTACTGTTAGTGCAATGGCAGGCATATCTATGACTTTGGCAACTCAACCGACGGTTTACTTATTACTGTTATTATTATTTTCAGTTAAGGGTATATGTTAGCTTCTGCAAACCAAAATAAAATCCACCATCAATCAAATTTTAGAATCCATCAACTTGTATTCACAAGAAATTATATTCTGATAACATCCCCTGATAAGCAAATCTGGACGTGAAGATATTATACACGGTAATCTTCTAACGATAGTCCGCCCGAAATTCATATGTGCCTAGCATTACAACGTCGGTACGGATTACACTGCCAATGACAATAAGAGAATTCCCACGGCAGAGCACCGTTATGATGGACTATCTCGTAATAGAAAAGTCTTCAACGTACCATCAATTGATGAATCTCTCCACTAAAAAAGGGATAGGAAAAACGAGGAATGATCAGGAGGCAGCCAGACGCTGTTGCCTAATGGAACTCTAAAAGGAAACCAGCGTCAATCAATACATTTGATGCCAGAAAAGGAGGATAGTTGATCAACTGGCTGGTGAATAGCGAGAGCCCAGAGAGATTTCTGAAGGTAGGGGTTGAGATGGAACCCCTGGTCAGGAATGAAATTGAGGATTGCTTGAGTTTTTTAGATGCATTCTTAGAATACCATCAAATAAATAAAGAAGATCGGGAGAAACAATCGTTCATCATAGATGTAGAAACTCTCTGCTATCGGGTAATGTTGTTCGGATTGAAAAACACATAATTAATTTCATTATATTATTTTCTTAATTGTTAAGAGTTCAATTAATACGATAAAAATTGGTATAGTTTTTATATGAATGTTGGTTCGGGCTGAATTTTTGTTAGATAACTCTGAAAGCTTAATTATATAGAGGAAGTTGGTTTACCAATTGTTTTCATTTTCATGCTTAAATTCAAAATTTTATTAATTTTACTCGTTGTATTTTATTCTTTTTATTTAGATTAATTTCAATTTAACTAGAATTTTACTAATTACAATACTTTTTTTATTTTCACACGACCTCTTATAGTCTATCTTTTTAAAAAAGAGATAAGTGAAAAAAGAATTACCTTTAGAAATTTATCAAAGTTTTCTTTATAAATGTGTTCTCAATTTTGATGTAATTCCTTTCTTTGATGTTAATCTTTTGAAGAAGAGATTCATTAATTGGTTCTTAGAGTTGGAGGCTTATTTATATTTCAACAAGATTTCTTTTTATCAAAAAATAGAACTTATCGTGTACAAACTTACTTATAATACTAAAAAATAGTGGTTAGAAGTTTTAGAATATAAAAATTGCACGGATAAGCCTTTAATTTTATCATGAAAATTTTTTAGAAAATCATTAATTTTAGAGTTTGTACAAGGGGAAAAATCTATTTTTACAGTTCAAAGAATATCTAAAAACAACAAATCAATGACATAAAACGCTAACGTTGCTTTCCAATTGCAAGTCATAGGCCAGTAACTCGAGCTCATGTTTAAGACGTACAAGGATATGAAAAATGAGGTGAATTAAATAAAGCAACAAAATAATAAGGTTGATAGTTGAGGAAATATGGTCGTAGGGCCATACAGAATATCAGATTTGATTCTGAAAAGTTTATTAACAAAAACATAGATAAAAGTGAAGACGACTATGATCTTGCATCTATTAGCCCATCAAGTTTCGACCAAATAGAGTTAAGAGGAATATGAATTTCCATGGCATGGGGAATTATAAAGATGTGGGTGGGGACTTGGACTCCATTAACTAAAAATTACTGACTTCCATGATAAAATCAATCCCAAAGCTTATTTGGAATAAGAGAAAAAAATAGATTGAATTTTTTTATTGTTGTAGCTATTCTAAACAAAAGAATGTGAAATTGATCGTCATTAAGTTTATAAAGCATGCATTGATTTGGTAGGATTACATTATAATCAGTAGGAGAAGGAATGAGAAGCGACCCGTTCAAACTTAGAAAGAGATAAAAGTCTTAATGGAGAGATGATTTGTACCAAACCATTATTACAAAGATTTATATATGAAGCTATAAGGTTTAGATTAAGGTTATAAAGTCAGTAGATGATAATCATAAAGAGATGAAGATAGCAATTATTCAAACCATTGTTGTTGAGGATAGAGAAGCCACCATAACTAGATTTCTTAATGGGTTGTATCGGGACATTACCAATATTGTTTACAACACTATGTGGAGCTAGAGGACATCATTCACATGGCTACAAAAGTAGAAAGACAACTTATAAATGAACATGTTCAGCCAACTTTAATTCGGGTTCATTATCATCTTAGAAGTTGAATCTAAAAAGAAAAGGTACTCTTCAGCCAAGGTCTTTTGTTCTTTTCAAAATCAAACCACCAAAGTCTAAAGTTGATGTCCCTGCTGATGTCAAAAGTAAATTTGAAACTCAACCTAAATGTATTCATGATGTTAAATGTTTCAAGTGTTAGGAATATAAATATTATGCTCATGGATCATTTTTTCTTGTCAAGGTAGCTGATGAATAATACTTAATACCCATAAAAAAATCTTTTATTATGAGTTTAGGGACTTTCTGATACTTAAATAAATATCATCTAAGAGAAAGTGCAATCATTTTTTAGAGAAGTACACGAAGAATAAATATACCACAAGAAGTGAAAAGAATAAAGGACTTGTTAAAGAAATTCTCCAATTTCTTTTACATATCCCAACATGTTTATTTTTAAAAAAAAAAATTGTTAAAAAAATAGGTGAAATATATCTAATTCATTAGATTAATATTAGAGTCTAAGATTACTTAGAGTTTAAAAAGATCATAGGGTCAATGCTTAATTAAGCACGAAGATGGAGATTTGACAAACCGTCAAATCTAAGTATATTTAAGTTCAGTGTTTAGATAATATCATGCATAATATATTTAGTAGCTTGTCAAATATATATATATTAGCTGAATTTAAAATCACCTCATTATCACCCTATTTGGATAAGAAACATGCTAAGAATAAATATATCATAAAAAGTGAGAAAAAAAGAAGGGAGATTTTCTGATCTCTTTTCATATTCCATAATACTTATCATATTTTTTTAGAAAAGAGTTTAAAAGGTGAGTAAAATATCTATATTTTATTATAGTAAAATATCTTTGTCTTATTGAATAATTATAAAGCCTAAGATTCTTCAAAGTATTTTAAAAAAAATATTATAGACCTGAAAATAATAAGTCTGGTAGCTTGCAGACACATGCATGTCTATGGTTAGAGTTGTCCGGTGAGGCTTATGGGAATGCTCGGAAAACTGAGAAGTTTTAGCATCAAAAGGATCCCGAGTGTGGAAATTGTGTAGGCTGATGCATTGGCTAGGTTGCATCTACAATGTGTGCAGTACGCGCAAAGCCAGTGATTATGTCTATAAAAGGTACATTGCACACCATGCCTGCACACACTAGAATAATAATAAAAACATAGATATTCATATGGGAAAAGAGAATTGACTTGACCGTCGGAGGGGCTGATCCGAAATCAACCTTCGATTTGGCGGGGGAATCTGCAACACCAATATTCAATAAATCCACTCTTAGAACCGCAAATGCTGGTGTGAAGGTCAACATATTGATTGCTATGTCTGTAAGACTGTCCATATGAATTTACTGATATAACCTTTATTATTAAGAAATTAAATAATTGCATCAAACGATGTCCTTCAAGATCCCCAGATTCAATGATTATTTGTCAAGTTTTGATTGTCTTTGGCATTTTATGATTATTTTTCTTATGAATTTCAATGGATTGAAATTCATGGAATCTTTTTCGTGGGGTTGAGCTCTTTGTGTGACTTTTTGGGACATCAAGATTCAACCATCATCGTCATTCTGTACACCTTCTTGCCGACGCCCATCAACTGTTCACTCCGAACAGGCCTCGCCCTTACTTTGACCGCAATTGGACTGGCCTAGGTACGAAATAGCTGCTACATATTTCTTTTATTTCCTTTCCTCTTTCTTAAATTAGTATATAAGACAAATTTAATCTTATTTTTATGTAGGATTAATGGGCATCTTTCTCGTGGAATTTTACAGCATTATGCAGTGGCAATTCATTAAGCAGAATAACGTTGTTATTGCTGTACCATAGCATTATTTCTTATTAATATTCCTCTTCAAAATATTTGCTAAAAGCTTTTCTTTTTATAGTGTAGCGAGAGAGGTGTGCGTGTTTCATGTAAAATCTGCTTTAAAAAAAGGATATACATATTCTGCTACTAATTTGATTTAGAATTTAAAAATACGTTTTTGCTACCATTAATTTACGTACGGCAAGACATTTTATTGGTCGAGATTCAAGAAAAGAATATAAAGGGCATCACAATCTTTTTTTATTATTATTTTACAAAACGAGAATGATGCGTCGATGTTGAGAGTAATTACAAGCTCTATGTTTTGCTTCATGCCATTGAGCATTCCGGAGGCGGTCCTTGTGGGAATCGCTTGGCATCAGTGCAATAGTTATAAATCATGTAGTTCTTTTGCACCCATTTTATTCTTCCTTGGCCTGTGCTACCCAGCGACTGTGATAGCCAAGAGTTACTGGAGGAGCCAGAGGAGGAGCAAGAGGAGGAACCAGAGGCCCAAATGCATGCTTGAGCATTAAAGTTCCTGTAAGAAGCTGTAAACGGTGCTTGGCTCCAATCGGTTTTGATAAGACCTCCTCTTGTAGCCCAATCATCTGCATTCCAGAGGCTTGAGTATATCCACATTGGTTGGCTCTTTGGGTATGGGATGCCCTTTGATT